AACTCAGGAGGGATTCAGAGCATGGTCCAGCAGCTAACAGAAAACTCAGAACTCATGCATAACCTGGAGAATGCATTAACAAACCCCCAGGGCCCGGCACAAATGCTGCTAAATAACACTCATATTTTAAGCAATGGAAATTCTCAACTGCAAGACGAAAGGGCACAGCAGCTGCCCCCAGAGATGGAGAACACTGAAATTTCATCCTTGCTGAGAAACCCCAGAGCATTGCAGGCTTTGCTACAGGTCCAGCTGGGTTTACAGACCCTCTCAACAGAAGTTCCATATTTTATATTTGGTTTAGGGGACCAAGATGTGGAACTGGATCTAGAAAGCATGGAAGACTCTGCAAAAAGCAGTGACTCTGAGGAAGATTCAAGTCTAGGGTCAGACAAGGATGAAGAAGAAAGTCAGGAGGAGATGGATGAGCAAGCACCACATACCAGATTTGACGGACAAATGCAACAGCTCAGCGCCATGGGCTTCAAGGACGAAAACGCAAACTTGCAGGCTCTGATTGACACAGAAGGAGAGGTCAACGCAGCAGTTGAGATACTGACAAAAGCACAGTCATCAAATGAGATCCCATAACTGGTTCATTTTGCCTGTTGTAATTCGGTCTTATTACGCACTAAAAGCAGCAGGGTGCATAATAAGAAGTTGTGTGCTGTAGCTTTCTTCCATCTATGAGAATTAATTGCTTCTTTACTGCAAAGATGTCTTGAATTTAAAACCATAGAAATGCAGAGTTCTCTGTGTTACAGAAACAGTGAGGGCAGACCCTGTCTGAATGTTGTGCTCCATATGCACAAACAGAGTCTGTGCCCCAGATGTGTATGCAGGAGAAAAACACGTCAGAAAAAGACATCAGAGGGGAAAAATATACCATTTTACAGGTCAAGAGCTGAGACCTAGAGAGCAGATGATAAATGAACCCGGCTCCCATTTGACTCCAAAATAAATGATTGCACTTTGATAGCTGCTCTTTTAGAAATATGGCCATAAAAAGTGGCAGGGAATACCTGAGCCATCTAGTCTGATCCCTGCCTTTGTGGGCATCTACCTTTTCTCAGCTGAACAAACTTTGTTTTGAAAGTCAATCTGTCACTTTTGCCAGTGCTTTTCCTATGGGAGGAAGGTCCATGATGGCTAGAAATCACCTTTTGATTTCCATCCAGACCATGCTCACAGCTGGTTTCTACTCATCTAGTCTTGCGCAAAAGTTTTTAGCTTCACTCATTAGTTCAGAGCTTCTCCTATTAGCAAATCCCGAACTCCTTGTGATTTGCCCACTGTCACACATGGGACTTGGGACAGAGCCAGGGTTTAGGACATCTCCAGCCCCTTCCTCAGGCCCAGAGCTGAGTATGTTGGCAAGTCTTATCCCCTTTGTTTTGCTGTGTGTGATTGTGAGTCTGAGGCTGTGAATGGGGTTGTGTCTCATGCAGCAATAATGCTTTTTAATGGATCGTCTCTATAATGCACACGGCGATAACATAGAGATTCCAGGCCTGGCTTAAACATGGTTAGGATCATCCCACGGCCCTCCCCTGCAGCCCCTTCTGCTCGTTTCTCCACCAGTCTTACCACATCTTTCCTCTCCTGCTCCCTCCCCTTCCCCTCTTTGCCCTGCCATCCAAACTCCGAGTTTCTTTTGCACTGCCCTGGGATTCCCACTTGTTTCTTTAGCAAGCATTCATTCTCTCCTGGCTTGTTTCCCTCACCATATGTCCCACGAGAGGTTTTCTACCTGGAAATTTCTTCTACCTCCTACTCCATCACCTACCCTCCTCTTTGGTCTGTAGCTACTGACAAATTCAGACGTCTTGTGTCCAGTTTCTCCTTGCTATTTTTTCAAATGGTTCCCTCTCTCTCCATGCTCCCCCCGCACCCCCTTCACCTTTCTGGAGTTTTATTAGAATTCCCTTTGATCTGAACAATGCGATGAAGGGCCTAGTGTGCTCGTCAGAGAGACATCCAGCACAGCTAGGAAAGCAAAAAGTGCCCCAGGCCAGGACCAGCTGTGCCCAAGGCTTCTCTGCCTTGCGGCTGCCCCGGATGCTCAGCCCAAGTATCACCTGCATCTCCCCTGCTGACGGCCTGGAACCGGGTCTCTGCCGGACACGGCAGCGACCGAGGGCAGGAGCTTCCTCCTCTGTGTGGGCAACAGAGAAAAGGAAAGGGACAGGCAGTGAACACAGAAAACAAGAAGGCAGGACAGAAGGACTCCTTGGGAGGAGTTGGGGGTCTGCCGCCCTGCCCACCACTATTCGAGCTTATGCCAAGAGCATAAGGATGTTTTGCTGAGTGAATGCAAAGTATTTTTGTTTTCTGATTTGAACTGCAGCTCTTGCCAAGCCTGGAAAGGCAGCTGTGGGGTAGGCCTGGGATGCCTGAGGGAGGAGTGAGGACCACTGTAGGACTGGACCTGCAGAGATGGGCCGGACACTTAATAGGCTGTGGCTGGAAAATGTCCCTGTGAAATGTCCCTCTCCCACAGCAGACTCCCTGCAGGACTGTGTACGTGCCAGTGGGCACGCTTAGGCTAACCGGCTGTGATAAAGCCAATTCACTGTGATGGATTTAGCCTGCAGTAGTGACTGACAAGCTGCTCTTGGTCATGTCCTCTGTTTACTCATGCAGGAAAACTTCAGCCCTTCCCTCTCTCAAGAAGCTGGCCTCAGCTTTGGCCACAGGGATATAGTTTGTCCCAAAGGGTGGTGAGCACAGACTCTTTGCAGCAGCCATGGCCTGAGGAGATTGGCATCGCCACCGAGTCAAATATTTACAAATTTCCCCAACAGTTAGAACTGCCAATGTTGCTTCAGGATTGTGCTGCTGTAAAGTGCCCTCTCCTTTGGGTCAAAGAGTCCAATCACAACAGCTTCTGTAGAAGTCCTGCGTGGCTCAACCCATGCGCAGAGCCTACGTGATCTGTGCTGGGGTGTTCGCTGGGGTGAGACACATGCAGATGGCAGACACCAAACATAGGGCTCCAGATGCGGGTCGTGTATCAAACCTCCTAACATAGCTAGTGGAGATCTTGGCATGGTTCAATTCTCAGGCAGAGGAGCCTAGCATCATCTGAGGTGGTCTTGGATATCTGAGACATCCACATGGGGCTGGTAGATGTGACCCAAGACCTACAAGACACCTGTGCCCTTCTAGACCAGCAGCTGGAGATGAGGAGGGATCGAATAGGGCACCTCAGAAAGTGCATTAAAAATGGGTGAAACATTTCCACACAGAAGATTGATTGGGACAGAGTATTTCTTTAAAATGCTTGTATTTCAAATTCAGGCAGCTTTAAAGTTTTAGTTACAAAAAAAGTGTTAAAAATTTGCAATTGTAAGTGTATTTTTACTGTGGTTTCATTACAAACATCTTGGCAAACCTGAGAGGAGTTCATCACACATGAAGATGTCACTGAACATAGGCTTTGCAGCTCCCAAGAGACTTACCCCAACAGCCCCCTCTCCCCAGTGCTGAGAGTCTTACGTCTCATCTCATTTTGTGACGTTCAAGCTCAACAGTTCCCAGGTGGCCTCCAGGCCTCCCAGGATGGGGCACACAAAGCTGAAGGGACCAGAATTTTGCACCTTGATTGAACGCTGCATTGTAGGCTCTTGCCAGAGAGGAGTCCACGTCCGAGAGGGGAACTGAGGCCAGACTTCTGGCAGGCTCCTCGATCCCCATTTTCACAGTTATTCCTGCCTCTCCTGGTTCCGGCAGTTGCGCTCATGTTGCCACATGTGCTGGGACCATTTGGAGACACAGACTCATCTGTGCTGCTAATGACAGCCACCCTCCAAACCAGGGCAAGCTCTGGCCAGGGACAGCCCCTGTGCCTGGCGATCATTTGAGAGGCTGCTAGCTGACCAGGACAGAAACACCAGGAAATGTCCCAATTCATTAGTACAGATAGCTGAGCCGCAGCACCCACCTACTCTCCCTGCACCGGTTAATTCAATGGCACAGATTCAGGTCGTGGACGATTCCTGGAAGACACCTCCAACCAGGTCGGAAGCATGAACACCGTCTGTCCAGAGCCACCCTAGGCAGCATTAATCGTTTTTTTTTGGTGCCTCAAGCAGTGAAGCCACTGCAGGATGGATCAAGCTGTTCTCACCACTCCCTTTGCCATCAGCACTCGTGCCACACTCTGTCTTGTTTAGTGCAACAACCCTAAATGCCTGCAATCCTAAATAAGCTTCAGCATGGTGGGATTTTTCTTTTGGGAGTTTTATATGCATTGAGGGCTGAGTTCCAGGATTGCTCTCATGAAATTATTTTTGTTCATGATCACAAATGCCATATTTCTCTAGGTGTACGTGTGCTCCTGAGCCCGTGACATGCACGGCTGCTTCTGCTTGAAGGCTCATTTGCACTGAAATGATTCACCTTGCAGAGAATAGCTCGAATAGTATAGCACATTTCTACACCTACATATGGATGAGATTTCTGACGGAGGAGAGCAGGATTCTCCTGTGGGATGAGGGACTCACTCCCTGACCCAGGGAGTCAGAGACAGTGTCCTGTCACTCATTCGGGTAGGGGTCTTCACCCCCAAACTTTTTCTCCAGCCTCCCCCACCCCATACAGGAGCACAGCCCATGGATTGCTCCTCTCATTGCTAGGAGGAAACGTTTCCAAATTTCTTCTGCTGCGTTGATCACCGAGTCTGTGATGCATCATACCGGATAATCTACTCAAAACATGAATTACTATTTATACATACATGGCTAAGATTTTTGCAAAAGTAACTGTTTGAGTCAAGTTTCTAAATCTGGATGCTCAGCACTTTTGAAAAGTCAGACCACTTATTTAGGACTCAATGTGTCTCTTGTTTTTAGAGAGTGAGTGTGTATTGCCACAGCCTGCAGCTACCTCACGTCAGTCCAAGCGGGGCCCTCAGGACAGAGCACCATGAGTGTAATTGCCTGCTTGGTGGGAAGGGAGCCAGGGCACACATGGAGCCAGGCACTGGGGACCCATGAACGTGTCTGCACAGGGCACCTTTGCTCATAATGTCAGTGGTGCAGGGGCAACTGGAAGAGCGGGGAGGGATGAAATCCCAGAGAACATCTAATTGGCTGAAGGACACTCACAGAGCCACTGACCAGGGTGCAGCGCCTCTCCAGGATCCTGGAGACACTGTACAAATGCATCCACCTCCCTGGCTCTGGCATCCTGGAGCATGGCCAGGGATCCTCATCCCTGTTAGAACCAAGGCAATGGTGAGTTGTTTGCATTGGGCATTTGGGTTGGTGCTGTTCAGCTGCGTGCGGCAAGAGGCGAGCTGTGACCCCACATGCAGCCAGGGACGGATCCCTGGGATTGTTGGACTCCTGCTCAGAGGTGCCAGTTTCCCAACGAACAATCATCAGGTAAAGCTGCTTCCCAGTGCTCCTCACCTCACCGACCTGAGAGATCAGCCACGGTTTGAGGAATCTGGCACACAACTGGATTATACTTTTTTTGAGAGCAAGGGTTGCTGAGTTAAGCACGATGTGGCAGCACGATTTGCCCGGTAAATCAGGGCAATCTCTGCATGGACCCCCCTGCCCTGGCCAGAGCCTGCGACTAGGCTGGGACAAGAATCAGTGTATGAATATAAATTCATAACTTACAGCTTTTAGCTGAAGTTAGGCTGAAAATATTTTAACAGAAGACAGATCCAAAGGCGCTCAGAGGTAGCTGTAGCAGATGCATCCTTAGTGCTTTGTTTGCATTCATGTGGTTGCACACTGGTGATTAGATTGCGGAGGAAGGGCTCCACCGCTGACACGCTCCTCTGGCATGAAACTCCCGCTTATGCTGAGACTCCCACCTGCAGGCGCAATGGGACCCTTGTTTACTTGCAGTTTGACGTCTGAATTTAGGCAAGTGATCACTAGCTTTTAGTATAATAGCACAGAATTTAAATGCTATCAGCATTAATAACATTTTATGCCTGCTAATATACTTTATAATATTTGATATATTATAATATATATTTTTATTTCATGCAATATTTATACTGAATTATTTAATTGATTTACAGAATTAGATGGTTTACTATTGTCACTAATTTTTTAAGGGACTTCTCTGTTCTGTTTTGGTTCTCTGGAGCAGATTCCTTGGACTTTCTTGGATCGGGTATTTCTGACCTGAAATTGTGTCTCCCCTCACCCACCTGAAGGTGAACTGAGATCCAGCGCTATCTTTAAAAATGCAATTATTTTTGTAAGCGCAGTGACTGTTTTGGTGTGCAGCAACCTCACAGTTTTGTTTTAAAGTACTTGCATCACTGTCTCATCTCAGCTGTGTTGAGTAAATCCTACTTTAGGTTTGATAGTTAAGAGCTGAATGTTCTTGCAGAAGCTAGTGAGAGAAAGTGGCATCCTGTTTTAACTTGTGTGAGTCTGGGTCTGACCCAGCCTCCACTGCTCTTTAGACCCTCTCCAAGTGCAAGCTCTTTCCTTGGTTGGCAGGGGAACTCCATCTCACACAGGTTTTCCTAAGACCCAGAAGACTCTCCGACTGCCTATTTAAATTTCATTTTTGCTAGATTTGCATTGACAAAGAGGTGCAAAGCAAGCAGCAGTTTTTCAGTCCCAAAGCCAGAGGAAAGAGAGATTTGGAGATAAGGAAGGGAAGAGAACAGTTGACTTAGACTTGGAGGTTATTTTGTTCTCTAACCCAGTGTGAGTCAAGGTATCTTAAAACTCTCTATTATTCCCACTGCAGTTTTTGATGTCAGAGAATATCTTGTGCATCCCTGCAACAACTTGACCTTTCCTCTCTCTCCTTGCCTGGCTCCCCCCTTTCTCCACTCTGGACTCACAGTACCTCAATTTAATGCTTTTTTTGCACAAGGAGTACTGATGCTGTCTCCATTCACCCAGGTCTAAGCAGAAGTACTTGGAAGAAAAACGCACTTATTTCATGTCAAAATCAAGTGAAGAGAAAATTTGACAGCTGTCCTTTTCACATCACAGGAAGAGAAGTAGATGTCGCAATACTTTGCAGACTATGGGGCTACATAATTCAGGATCATACTTCTGGCTGTGGCTATTAGCAGATTAAAGAAGGTAATACACGGCATGTGGTAGCAGGCAGTGATGGAGCAGCTTTAGTAGGTGAAATAAAGTTGTGCAGTGTTTTCTGTCTTTGTTTTCAGGTGAAAATTATGCCATCATTCAACTTCACCAGCTTGGCTCCAGCAATGTTCATCCTGGCTGGCATCCCTGACTTGGAGAAGTCACACATCTGGATCTCCATCCCGTTCTGCTCCATGTATCTTGCAGCCCTGCTAGGAAACAGTGTCCTGTTGTTGGTTGTAAGGACAGAGCGGAGCCTCCACGAGCCCATGTACCTTTTCCTGTGCATGCTGGCCATTGCTGACCTAATGCTGTCTACCACAACAGTGCCCAAGATGCTGGCTCTATTCTGGTTCAACGCTAGGGAAATTTCCTTCAGTGCCTGCCTTACCCAGATGTTCTTTCTGCATTTCAGCTTCTCTGTGGAGTCTGTGGTCCTGGTGGCCATGGCCTTCGATCGGTACGCGGCCATCTGCTGTCCTTTGCGGTACAAGGCTGTGCTGACACGCTCAGCCATTGCAAAAACTGGGCTGGTGGCTGTCGTGAGAAGTTTCTGCATCATTTTCCCGTGCATATTTCTTCTGAAAAGGCTGCCATTCTGTGGGCACAACGTCATCCCGCACACCTACTGCGAGCATATGGGCATAGCCCGGCTGGCCTGCGCTGACATCTCCATCAACATCTCGTATGGCCTAGCAGTGCCTTTTGCAGCAATAGTGTTAGATGTAGTACTAATTTCTGTCTCCTATATCCTGATACTTCTGGCATTATTCAGGCTCCCTTCCAGGACTGCCCGTCACAAGGCTTTGGGCACCTGTGGCTCTCATGTCTGTGTTATATTACTTTTTTATACTCCTGCATTTTTCACTGTTTTGACACACCGCTTTGGTCGCACGATCCCCCACCACATCCACATTGTGCTGGCCAACCTGTATGTGTGCAGACAAGACAGATAAAAGAGAAGGTTGTAAAAGTGCTCAGCCACTCCACAAATCATTTTCTGAGTAAATAAGAGTGAGATATCACTATCAAAAAATGATTAGTATCTTGGTGGGACTCCAGAAAAAAACCTCAAACCCTCTTTCTCCACGTTGTTTCAGGCAACATCCCCCACGTCACCTTCCCCAACAGTCTGAAGAAAATTTGAGACAAAAAAACAAAGTCAGGAGTCGCTTTAAAGGAGCGGAAAAAGAGGATGATTAAGTAAATGAGAACCTATCCCAGTTAGTGTGACTTGTGGGAAATTTCTGTAAAATGGAGACTGACTGCTTTCACTTCAGTGTAGCAACAAGGCCTCCATCTCAGTCTTTTTCTCCCGTGTCAGATGAAAAGATATGCAATGTACTTGTTCCTCTGAATTGCAGGTGTGTACTAGAGTTCGTTATAGGAATTGCTTCTTTATTAAAAATCATAGAATTGAAAAAAGTCTCTAAAAGGAATAATACAGAAATAAAAGCAAATGTTGCAGATTAGCACGTATGAAGTCTTTTGACTATGCTTTGAGCAAACATATAGATGAAAAACTATTCCAAAAAGAATACCTGAAACTATTTATTTTTTAATAAGACGGGCTACTACAGAGGAGGGGAGGATGCTTTAGAGGTGTCAGGTCAGGCAAGTTAACGGTACTTTTGGCTCCAGAAGTGACAGTCTCTGCTTTAGGACACTCTCACTGCTCAGAGTGCCCTTTCCTAAGGGACAGTCTAACCACCCCGGCTGCAGCAACGGGCACCAGCTGAGAAGAAAAATCTCATTGTATTTACTTAAGCCTGTGAGTCTGTTCCACAAACAATCACAGATAGAGTGTTTGTTAAACACCCCCATCCAAAAAAAAAAAAAAAAACCAAAAAACCTGAGATCTTGGCATGGGGTAGCATTTGCTTGGGGAATCAAATCTCAGCCAAGATCTTTGGTCGCTGTCTGCATGTAGACGGGAGTGTCTGCTGCAAGGGTGCTTTCAACAGCCTCTTCAGCTGGATCAAGTGCGACTCTCCAAACCCTTCTTTGTGCTGAACTCTTATATCCACCTGGCCATTTGTCCTGCGTGACTACTCCAGTGCATCCATTGCTGTTGGTCATCTTAAAACGCATACAAAACATTTCATACCTACTATGTCTTACAGGATGAGGTTCTACTGACATTGCAAGTCTCTTATCTATGGACAGTTTGGTCCATTCTACAGCTGCTTGGGTAAGTCTCTGGGATGGACGGGATGTTAATCCAACTAGCGAAGCATACAAACAGTGCCTGTTGTATGGTCAAGGCCTCGCAGGACCTGTCTGGGGGAATCTTTGGGACTGCCTGAAATTCCCACCTGGACACCTCCTGTAACGAGATTAATCCAATATTTTGTTCTAAAAGTGGTTAGGAGTTCAGTCAATCACCTTGCCTGGGTCCATCTTTTCATCTCTCCAAAGATGAGCCAGGAAGCTCCTGGACCATCAAGGGAATTAAGGGCACTGGGTGTGCACAGCCCTGATAGCGAGCTACACAGTTACAGGAATAGGATAAACTTGAATTTCCTCCTTGTTATCTCACTTGTAACTCAAATTCCACAGCTCTGGCCATAGGTGATGTTTCTCAGTGGCTTAAGTCCTCTCAGTTCTGTTGCCTTCAGTGAATCTCTAAGAGGGTTCGTGGAAGAGAAAGGTTAGGTCTGAATTTTTAGCGATAAGCAGAGATGTGGTGGCACAGAAGTGTGCGGTTTTTAGCTGAAATTTGATGTGATGAGGAGCCACGAATGAATTGAGCCTGGTTCAGCGTGAACCCTGTTGGGTAAAATACCTGCACTCCTGGCCCAGCTCTCTGGGGGACTATTGTGCTGAGAGGCATGGCGTGGACAAGGAACAAGTCTGGGTCTCCAGCACCTGCACAATCAGCCTGGTTTGGGAAGTGGCACATCCCCAGTTCTGTCAAGAATGTGCCTGGAGCATTTTACCAACCTCAGATTACCCGCTCCTTCCCAGCAAACAACACCTGAGCGGCAAAGAGCCCTCCTGAAGCCCATGACTTGCCAGTGTGCTGTCCAGGACATCCAGGCGGAGCTGTGGGTCACCTGGTGGGGATGTCTGCAGTCTTCTCCTGCAAGTCCCAGCGGGGATGCAGAGCCAGCAGGGAGCAGCAGGACATTAAACTCCATGAGCTGGAACAAAACTAGCCTCCTGTGACCACAGTGAGCACTGCTTGCTTGCCTCTGCTCCCCCTTCCCATGCATTGGGCAGCACAGCCATGGCCCAGCACTGTTCCTGTTGAACTGAATAGCAAACCTCCTGCTGGTGTCTCTGGATCGGGAATTCATGTCACAGCCCTTCTTTGGGGCACTGTGGCCACAGACTAAGGACGCAAAATGCATTTGTGCACCAAAGCCCCGTTTTCAGGTTTAGTGACTTATATGCTAAAATGGGAGGATGACATAGAGACTGCATCATGACAAGACATCAACCACGTGTGCACAAGACTGTTCTAAAAAACTTTTTTTATCCTGCTACTAGATGTCATTCTTTTAATGAGATGTTAGCACTAACCTTACCAGAAGCACCAAACTTCATCATTCTGAGACAACAGTACGCCTGACGTTGTTGTTGTGCTGGCTTTGATGCCAGGCCTTCCCTAACTTTTTTGTCAATCACAGTATATATATGTTATATATTTATAAGCAGAAAGTCATTTGAAAAATGTATATTTATAACTCACTAAATACTTTAGCACTGCACAATCCCTGACTTTAACTTGACATTTGTAATCATTGCAGGCTTAAACACCCATAAAGACTGTGTTTGTCTGAAGAAGCTGACACAGCAGTGCCCTTCAAGTGTTGATTATGATGCAGTAAGAATAATTCTGCCATTTTTAATCTCCTAGTAGTATGCAAGGCTGAGCGCACAAAGCGTGCTGCAAATCAGAAATCTGATAACTGGCAACTGCTAGTTAGTTCAAAAAGGAAGCTGACAGCCTGTGGCTAAGGCTATGCTCTCTACAGCCTGCAAGGAAGCTATTTCATTTTGTCACATGAGCATTTCCGCTGTGTTGAAACCACAGAAATATTTCACTTCGCCTTCAGCCCCTGCTGCCACTAGTTCTGTTGGAATGGGGAGGAGAAAAATCATACGCAACTCCCTGAGCCTTCCCATCTCCTCGATGGGCTGTGGGTGGAGAAAGGCCATCTGGAGCTGTTCGTGACTGTCACTGTCAAGACTTCCAAGGAAAGCTTGGTTAGAAACATGCCAGGCTTCAGTTTTGACAGATGAGGCCATATTCTGGATCTCTTTAGCATATTTATCCTTGCACAATGCAGTCTCCGCAGCAGATCTAAAGAACTGGAAGTTGCTCAAGGAATTGCAGTTAGGACTGAGAAAGGGAAAAGGATCCCATAAGTATAAAACAGCCATAGGATTCAGACATGGCCTTGAAGTGCTTGGGCATGGACGGGAGGATGAGGATGGGAACACAAGGTGGTGAGAGCCCTGTTGTTCAGAAAGCTGCAACCAGCTCTTCGATCCTATTGCTGGCACTGTCTGTGCAGGCCAGCATGGTGGTATCTGTGAGGCTGTGTTACGAATGATGGACCACATGCGACCTGCAGGACTGCATCCATTCCAGCTTCAGGCCGGAAGCAGAAACTCAGAGAATGTGGGCTAATCCCGCTGCGATCCTCTCTGGGGTGGCCAGGATGGGGTATAGCTCATGGGATTATGAAGTGTTGATGGAAAGCCGTGACCAACATCCCCTGAGAGCAAGTGCTGAACAACATCTCCCCAAAGAGACGTAGCCTCCATTTGCAGCTGGACAGGTACCAAACCTCATTCTGAATTTAGAGTCGTTGCATTGCAAATGGTCTAGACAGAGTGTCTGCAAACACCAGTTCCCATTGTGCACATTTATTTGATTTGCAAATCACACATTTAGAGCATTTTCTTCCAAGGTTCTTGCCAATGCCTTCTGGCAACTGGAGTCACTTATGGTCAATTTCTGCTAATATTGGTTTCCTATCAATAAAGACATGACATTCATTGCACAATTATTACACAATAAGCCTAAGTTTTCTTCTTTATTTGAGAGTACTGATGTTAATGTTTTGCTAGTAACTGTGGTGCATAAACTATTGGTTTCAGTTTTAGCAGCACAAAGACAGCTGTGGACAGTTCAGTTTTGTGTTCACAGTTACAGTACCTCCCAGAATTTACCCAAAGGTTCCTCCCATCAGTTCCCTCAGTTCCTCCTGTCTACTTGTGTCTTGGTAGTCTTTTCTCAGTAATACTTGTAGGTTACTTCTTGGATTAAGTTCAAAATTCTCTACATAGTGGGCTTCTCCAGAGGCCCTTTTGTATCTACTTCTTGAGTTTTGGAGTAAGAAAATGTTGCTTCAACCTTTCTAGAACATAGTTGTACACACAGTTTACCTAAAATTATTCATTACCAATGTGTAGTCATTTGGGGTGATGTTAACGTAATCAGCTAGCTCTTCCCTGTTGCTGGGGTTTGCTTTTATGGTATATTTGGGGGGAGCAATGATATCTACTCCCTGAACCACTACTTCATTATATTTTTATCTCTCCTGTAACAGAATGTACCAGTCTCTTTTTGGATGTCTCAGGAAGACTGAATTTTTGCTGCAGTTTTTGGGGGTTTGAGGTTTTTGTTTGTTTGGTTGGTTTTTGTTTTTTTCAGGAGTCTCAGACAATAACCAGCAGTGGCACTCTTTTGCCAAAGAAACTAAAGTCCATTGATATCGTCCATGAGGGTGTGAACCAGAGGAGAATAGTGTCTACCAGATCTGTGTAGCACAGACAAACTGGTCATCAGGATGTAATAAATCAGGACAGTACAGATAAGAGAGACACAAGTGTTCAGGGCCTTGAGGTGCTTGTGCTTGGAAGCAATACTCAGCATGGTCTTAATGACCGTAAGACGAAATGATAGACATCAAGTCCAGCTCAAATGCAGCCAGGACAACAA